CGTCGATGTATCCATTCTTATAAACTCCTTGAAATAGAAAAGCGCCAATAAAATCCAGAGCTTCTCCGGGCGCCAGCACGGCTTTGTTATAAATCCTCTGTCCGATTAAAAAAACGTTTTTTAGAAGTAATCGAAATTAACGGTTTTTATGGGTATTTTACAGCGTATTTAAAAACGTTTTCCAAAAAAGGTGAGCTTTAAGAAAATTGTGTCCGGAATATTTTTCTCAAAACAGAGTGATTCATTAATGCTCACCCTATTACGATAAAAATATTCAGGACCAACAAACTTCATTTCTAAGATGCTCCTAGTGAGATAGTGATAAATACCGCGTGATACCAAAGTACCACTTGATACCTACGATCATGGCATGTGGCAAGAAAAGACGTGGTGGGTTCTACTAATGACTTGTATTTGTACGTGGGCGATTGTCCTCAAACAGACCCAAATCGGCAAATTTGGGCGAAATTCACAATACAGTATCGCGAAAGATACTTCTATTATATGCTCCCGCCCACACATCCTCTAAACCATCGAACTGCTGCGACGCACAAGCAAGCTGTTAATCTGTTGCACGTACAAATTGGGAAAGCTTTGCTTCCATGATACTTTCGCAAAGTGCGTCATGTGTATGGACTCGAGGATTACGAGGATTACGTACAGTAAGGTCCGTAACTTTCGACTCGAGCCTCGCCACAACAACGATCCACAACAAGTCTGTCGCCATTCCTCGTGTTTCTCATTTTTCATTTTACCGCTTGCGGTTGAAGCAAACCTAACTCCGACTCTTCCACACTGTCTCCCATGCTTCGGTTCCTTGGCTCGACTGCTATCCTCGCGGTCGTCGCTGCAATCGCATTCGGTGCCCCGGTCCCCGATGGTACCTGGCCAATTAGTCAAGGTCATGTCACTTTCCCTGAGGTCTACGTCGTGAAATCGGGCGAAGTATTTGACGGCGGCATGAAGACGTACGATCGCTCAGACATCACCTGCCTCGGCCACACTGAAAGCAACGTATCCACCGCTGTCTTCGAGGTCGAACCCGGTGCTACGCTCAAGTACCTGCCGACCAATTTCTCTAATGCCAACACCAGCTTGGCCCAGCCCTTCAAACTTACCCCGCTCTCGCTCTGTGAGCGGTGGTCCTCGCCCCATCGTATCCAGAATGACTCTGAGCCAGCGAACTGCTTTTATAGCCATCTTTCAGAATGACTTGATTTTTGTATACTGGTAGATGTGCGTAACACTGGACGCGTGGCCAAAAACGACTGGTTGTATGGTAGC